AGTACTGCTTGTTGCTCATCAGTGTGTACATGCCAAGGATGGCTGCAAAGACAGGACAACAGTAACATGTTATGAAGGCAATTAACACATGAAATATACAGTATGCTGGTGCAAGTGCAGTAGTGGTTTTGTCAAAATATATTTCACTGTAGGTGGGAATATTGTGCTGTAAACGTAAACACTGAAGACAAAATAAAAAGAAATAGCAAATACAGCAATAGTCGTATAAATGTGGGGAGAAAAATAACTCCAACAAAATACAAAGCTGTTAAAAACAGGAAGGAGATTTAAAGATGTAAAAATATAATGAATTTCATCTTCAGGCAGTGGTTTCCCAGAGAAACCTGGACTGGAAGGGTCACTGTACTGTTATAAAATAAATACTAAATATATCCCCAATAATATCCCCAGCACTTTATACACCTGAGACAAATGTTAGTACACATGTGAAATGCAACTTGAAAATATCAAAATCCCTTCATTTGAATTGGTTTTCAATCTGAATCCTAGGAATAAAATACAATCATGTTTTCGTGCTTTTTTATTTGTGGAATTCCATATTAATCTCACAATTCTGACATTTTTCCTGACGACTTCATACGCAACAATATCAGAATATTTTTTTCCTCACATTATATACCAGACATTAAAATCAGAATTCTATTTTTTCATTTTTCAGGTGATTAAAGCCATTAATTGAGATTTATTTTCAGAATTCTAAATACTTTAGTTTTCTAAAGAAGAAATTTAACTAGTTATATTTGCCTGATTAATCTAAAAAAGAAGAAAGAATTGGGTTTTCTCTTACACTCCTGTTGCTACATTCTAACACCAGCAGGGGGCAGACCTGCTGCTTTTCTTTTCTAACCTGCCAGAACCTCCTGGGCTCCCTTTCTTTTCTAACCTGCCAGAACCTCCTCCCTCCTTCCTGGGCTCCTGACCCTGTGTGTGTGGAAACATGGAAGGGCCAGCTGAGGAGAAGGAGACAGCTGTCTGATTGGAGGGTCAGGTTTGTGTGTGTGCGCGTGTGTGCTGCAAGGAACACACAGGAGGAAAAAAGAAACCTGTAATATCTGGTGTAGAATCTGAAAATATATATGTTTGTATGAACTCATTTTTACTTCTTTTTTTATTTTCCAGATAGCGTGTCTTTTTCTGTTTCTGTTGATTATGCATGCATGTTTAGTGTATGCATGTATAGTGTAACTGTAGTCCATCTATGCTGACAGTCCATTGGAACACATGAGGGTTACACAGTACAGGTATGTAGTACTGAAGAATAACTAAAAACCAGGATGAGCAACAGGTCAAAAATACAAGAAAACCCTTTTCTTCTTTGTTTATTTCTGTTCTACGTTTTAACTTTACGGTCTCATTATTTAGTATTTTGCAGTAATTATGTCCAAATTTCTGTATTTTTTTCCCCAACCATTCTCTGTATTATCTGTTTTGAAAGTGTGTATAACTGAGTGAATTCTAGTGGTGAAGTTACATGTTGTTGAATACTTCCTACCCTGGTGTTCCCATTCAGACATATAGGAGAATATACAGTAAAGCTACATGTAGTTAGTAAAACATGAAGAGGTATTGTAGTTTTTTTAACTGTTAATGCAGCCATCCAACATTTGTTTTGCACGCCACAAGAACCATTGTTGTGCATTAGCCTTCACTCGTGTGTGTAAAGTGTTTGACCAGGATATTTTATAACTTGGACTTCCATCATCTGGACTTTTAGAACACATTAACAGGACTTCAAATATGACTGTCTGTGTTCTGTGTGAACACATTAACAGGACTTCAAATATGACCGTCTGTGTTCTGTTATTGTTACTCTGCATCAGGGGTGGACAGGGGTGGACACCCTCAGTCTCTACTGACGTCCAAGCCACATACTTTAGGCTAACAAAAGAAGTTTGGGGTCAGTATTTGAACTTGATGTATTTAGATTTAAAAAAAAAAGTAATATACCTATATTTATAAAGTTCTCATTATTAAATAAAACATTTTATAATTATTAGGTAATTTAGAAAATGTCACAAATGACTTGACATATGAACACCAGCCAAAGGGGACTCAAATAACCTGGGTGTTTTATGTTTGGACAAGGAACATCCAGAATGAAGATGCCCAGGTCATTTGAACCATAATTATCATTTTGACATTTGTGAGACTAAATGTCTTTTGTCCCTTCCTTTTTGTGGTAATAAGACACAGATCTAACTTTGTGATTTTAGGATTATTTGATTATTTCACACCATTTTGACAATAAATAGATTTATTCTCTAAGGGAAGGATGGACAATTCTACCATTAAAAAAACACTTAAAACAGACAGCAGTCCCCCACCCATCTGTCACAAGCAGATACAGTATCTTAGCCCCCACCCATCTTCTCCCCTGGCAGCCTGGGGGCTTATTTATTTTTGTGTTGCTGAGTGTGGGGAATTGGAGCTCATTGCATGTCTGACCGTGTCTGTTGGTCCCAGGACTCAGTGATTGGGGGCCTCAGAACCGAGAGGGAAAACAACAGCAGTAGCTGTACGGAGAGATAACTGGGTGTATGCTGTATATAACAGAGCTCTGTATGTGGGTTAAGACACTGTGATGAGGTCACACTGCTGTGTGTGTTTGTGTTAATGGGTTAATAACACCTTCCGCCGGGAGGCAACAGGAGGACAGAGCTGTGATGTCAGCAGAAGAATACGTCTTAATTAGGATGAGCAGGAAAAAGTTAAAGGTGAAAATATTGACAATTTGTTTTATTTATTTCCAATTTTTTTTTCATGGATTTTCTTTCCTACAGATTTTTATTTTTTTTATTGTCTTGTATGCAAAGTCATCTATAATGGCAATTTTAATATATGTCTGTTTTTATATTCTTAAAAAAACCAAGTCTATTTAACAATCAGTATTATATGATACTGTTTGTTTATTATTATTATTGGACAACACGATATTGGACCACATGAACTCATAAACTCAGCTGTAAGGTGTGTCAGTATCGTATCAGTAAAAGCAACAACAATCCATAAACATCTAATCCCAATAGACCTTAACAGTGTTTTGAGTACCAGGGTCTTGGACCCACTGAGGAAATCACATGCATGTGAAGATGTTCCAGTTAGTGATGCCTGAATCTGCTGTTAAACAACACAGTCTTTACATCTTTTCTGAAAACTATCGTCGTCAAATGTATCAGTTCCTGAATATATTTGGCTTTATTACAGGCAGACAGTGAATCTGTACTGGTATAAAACTCTGAGCAGGTCACAGATTACTCACCTGCAATATCACACATCTCAGCATCAGTAGCGTTCTTCAGAGCCTCCTCCAGCTCTGGCTCCAGGGTCACCTGTTCGTGTATAGGAACCTCCGGCTGTTGCTTGGGGATAAAAGCTTTTCCTGGACACAGACCAAAAGAACAAATGTTAAAGAGAATACAGAAAAATACAAAGGCTGCAAAGCGAAAATCGATGAACCCTTGTGATTAGATATTGAATTCATTATTTCCTGTATTATCAGCACAGTGTATCACATTTACTGAAACTACAATAACTGTGTTGGAAACATTTTTGTAGATCACAAAATGGGGTGCAATTAGATAATGAGCACTTAAAATTAAAAAAATAATAATATAATTCTAAAGTGTGTAGTAGTAACCATATACTGTAATGATTAAATCATATTGTGTCATACAGATACACAAAATAATCAGTACCCAAACATATCATGTATATTTGAAGTATTTTCAGTTCATATGAATAAATATATATTTAATGTTTTTAATGTAGGTTTATTCAGATTACAGGAAAATATATATATTTTTTTTTTAACTTTTAAACATGGCAATTTCCTATATTTGGGGTACAATATTATTGATTCTGAAAGAGCTTTTAGCTAATATTAGGTCAAATACTTTTTTGGTTAACTGTTAGAAAATGATGTTAAGATGATTCGTTATGGTTTTACATCATATCATATATTAAGCTACCTTGTAGATATATATCTTGAGTGTCGCGTCACTTTTCTGAGTTTTATCTAGCTTATGGCTTTTATACTGCATATGTAGTAAAACCCTGCTCTAACCTTTCTTCTCCCCAGTGAAGGGCACCAGGTCTTCTCTCTCTGGACTTTCTATGGCCTCCTTCTCCAGGTACTGCATCAAAGCGTCACGGTCGTACGGCCCTGTTGGGCCTTTCTTTGTCTGGTCACGTTGCCGCATGCCAGCTGGCAGCATGGCATTCTGGGAGAGAACAAGAGGTCGAATGTCATGTTGATGTGACATTGATGACCAGTGAACAGAGATGACCAAAAAGGACTGTACAGACGGATTATGTGACCGAAAACAAGGAGTTAGAGAAGAGATTATTCAATGTTTTGAAATATCAGAAGATCTGCAAGAATGGTGGGAAAAAGAATAAGAAATAAAACTGGTTTTATTTCATTCTTCTCGGAGCTCCAGACAAACAACAATGTATTCTGTCAAAGCTGCTGTCAGTGGTGTCGTCTCTGGTCTGTTCCACTCACTGACATTCCACTTCCTTATGTCTAGGTTGCCTCATGAACACATTCAGAGTGTGGCTTATTTGTTCTCTCTCCGTCAGCCAAATCTCACATGTAAAGAAGCAGTGTTTTGGCAGAGTTTCCACTCCTGACTGGATAAATTGTGGTCGGATCCTGAAAGAGAAGTCTCCTACATTTAAAGCCACAGTCCTGAGACTCAGTGATCCTGAAAGAACTGGGTCACTGTGCAGACATTTAAGATCAGTGATGGATGTGGGAATAAAGACATCATTACAACAGATTTTTGCTAAAGCAGTGAGTGTGAGCTGTAAACCCCTGGTGGGTTTTAAAGGAATTGCAGTAGTAGGGACACTAAAGGTCAAAACAGACACTTTTACAACCAGTTTTAAAATTAGTCATAAGTAATAAATCAATATCCCTGGGATTTATTTAATCTGTTCTCTTTAAAGTGTCTGTACTGACTTTATCAGTTGTCATTTGATGACCTCTGACGCTCAAACCATAATGGAACTGTCATTTGATTAGGATAAGATATTATGAATTCGTTTGGTTTGGTGATCATAGTACTGCAGAATCCTGCCAAATCAAACTATTTAATTTCTAACGACGAGACATAAACTACTATAATTACAATTATTCATTTTTACTCATATAACTGGTGCAAACATCTTTGTTACCTAAAATTATCAATAAAAACTCAAGTAAAGAATTTTGCACATCTGTGAGTCTTTGTTAAAAAAAAAAAACCCACACACCTCTGGATCCATCTCCTGCAGCTCATAGTCCAACTGGTCCAGCTCCTCAGCACTGAGGCCCCTGAGGATGGCATCCTCGTCAATGTCCCTGGGGTCCGACATGGCTCCTGAGGTTCACGCACACACACACTCACTCATACACACTGCTGCAGACCCCGGCCTGAGAGGATGCTGTCATAAAAAAAGACACAAGACATCAAAAAAGACATCAGTGTCGTGTAGAGATCGGTGCTAAATTGTAATAAATCAAAGGAGGATATCAATTTTGAATAAATATTTTACACTGATTAACACTGTTTAATAATGTCCATTCATCTCCTACACCTTTATCATTTTGAGTGTTGTGTAGCTGGCTGGCTGGAGCTGATCCCAGCGGTCATTGTGGGAGAGCGGTGTGCACCATGAACAGGTCAACAGTCCATTTCAGGGTCATATATAGAAACAAATTATCATTTCTTTTTCTCACACTGATACCTCTGGTCAGTCCAGTGTGGACAAGAGATACACCCACACACAGAGAGAACGTGTAAACTCAATATAAAAACATTTAGCTAATCTTTTCAGCTAATACCGGGCTAACATTTAGCTATATATCTTTAACTGCATGTCACACATTATGCCAACCACTATTTCATAGGCTCCATCGAGCTTTCCTGGCTGCTCACTGCACATTTGAATAATGTGACAGCGATAATAATAGATGAATTTCCACTAATATACTTTCAGTTCGGAGGAGTATGGATGTCGCCTGCTGCAGTTTAATGTTAGCTTTATTTGTGACTTAAAACGTCGGGTCACCAGCCTTGAAAACTCGCCCTGTGACAATCGACAGACGGGAGTGGAGAAAGTGGAAAGAAGAGAGGAACAGAGAGCGGAGAAAGACTTTGTACTGTAACTCTAAACCCTTAGGTCACCAGGCCAAAAATAGCAGGATGGAGAGAAGAGCGGAGAGGTGGAAAGTGCAACCCCTTGTTTATCACTGACAAACATTCACTTGTACGGTAGTGGACCCACCCAAAAACTAATTCACACCCAAAAAACAAAAACAACACACAAACAAAACAAAACAGCCTCTTAGCAGCAAAACGAAAACCACTCCACAGAAATGTGGATCTCAACCAAGGAAATACCTCAGCGATAACATAGGGAAACCCCTGGGTCAGTGTATGAGTAATGTAGCTTTTAGGGTTTAAGACTTTAAGACCTTTCTTTTTTCAATCCAGATTTTATCCAAAATTGGCCACAGGAGAAACCATAACATTGTCCCAGGTCAGAATGAGCTCATAGACTTCAGAACTCATTAATCTCTGATGGAAAACTGTGTTTTCTCTAAATATTTAACACTAGCACCATAAATAGCATAACAGCTCAATTCAACAGGTGTTGTTTTTGTCTTTGTGAGCAAGACATCCCTACAGCAAATTAGGTCACGTACATTTTACTGGGAATAACCTGAACCCCTTCAGTTTTTAGATCTTTTCAAAAATATTGTCTGTTTTTATCTCAGTAAGCTAACTCCAGATTATTTTATTTGTTTACCCTAAATTACAAAAAAAGGTTTTGCCTCAAAAGCTTTGACACTTTGAGGCAAAACCTCAAAAGCTTTGACGCTACTAAAATCCTATTTATCATTCCAACAGTTCAGCCAGCTTTTCGTTTGCATAACGTTTGAATAATAATATAGTTTTAGGATAAAAAATGACAGCCTTAGTGCTTAACTGTTTGAATCTGCATCCTAAGTTGTAAATGCGGACGTTATGGCAAATCCCTACCTTATATTTGAATCATTCCATACAAACATTCTCCAACATGTTCTTATCACTAAAAGCTAAATGAAAATAGAGGATTGTTTCTAATTGTATGATTACAGTTTTTTGAATTTGTAAAATCTGATTCCAGTGACTAAATTGAGATAAAGTTATGATTATAGAAATATATTTATGTACTATACAAATGATGCCCCGCCCCCTTGCTCAAAACTCAGTCTGCTGTATGTCATTCAACAGTCAATTTGCTACTATTAGCCTCACACACATGCAGAGCTGGACAGGAATCAAAGCACACTGTAAAGCTCTACATACTTATCTTTTATGATTAAAACAATAAAATAAAGCATCTGTCTGGTCACTCAGTGTGTGTTTGTAGTCCACCTGTGTGGCTTTAATGTGTAAAGCCAGTCACACAAACTCCAGGTCACGTAGCAGAGTGACTGGAGAAGATGCAGGAGATTACGCAGATGAAGAAGAGAAGGAGACAGTGCCAAGGAACAGGTGGAACATAAATCTGTGCTTTTTAAACAGGAATAAGACGTCTCTTAAAGACAACAGCTCCACAAGGAAGAGAATGAAAACAGCCTAAAAATAGCTCAAGGATAGCCAAGGTTAGCCAAATATGTAGCAATTAATTCTAGTGTTTACTTAAGACAAGGTTATATGTTATAGGTTATACAATACAATTGTTTAAATGTATCAAAAACTAGGGTGAAATATCTAAGGGTTAGTTGACTGTGCTAAATTGGAGAATTTAGAAGTTAACTAGAGTTTTTTCTGTTTTTTTAACTTAGTTTTGATAGTACTGTAATGCATTATTTTTTAATTAATTTAAAATGTCACTAATATTTACTAAACTAAATGTCTTATATGCACTGCCTCTGCTGTGTTAAATGTGTGGAACCACCTGTACCAACAGCCGTGACTCTGACAAACAATAACAGATCATATCATTTCCCTGCAGTGAAGCCTTTGAGCCTCGCTTATTGTTGGCTGTAACACGAGACTCTTATCTGTCACTTGAGCTGCGAGTGATGGCTGTGACAACTGTATAACAGAAAATTGGAATTGTAGCACATTGTAACAGTTTTCCAACAGTCAACTGACACACGTGTTCTATTGTGCATATTACCTATAACAGGGTTGAACAAAGGGGTTTTGATGTCCAATCTGACACAGCCTTTAGAATGGGAAACCCCAGACTACAATGGACATGCACCGGGACTTAACAAGTGACCATCTGTTCCCAATGGTCCAGGTAGGATTTTCATATGCACTTAAACAAAGTGGGAGTGAGGGAGCACAGAGTGCTGTCAGAATCACCTGCTGCTGCTGCTGTAAGACCAGCTTATTGCCTGTTTTCCACTTAAAAATCCAAAGAAAATCTCCTGTACCTGCAGCTGATATTATTATCAAAGCCAAGACATGAGCTGGGTCGGTTTGGATTTTGCCACAGTGTGATTGAAAGCTCTAATTACAGATCAAAATACTAATAAAAAATGTGATCCTTGTGATTTGTTAACTCTTAATCTTCTTACACTTTTAAGTGACTTTGGGCCAGGATATCTTAAACTGTCTGGGGGGTAAGAAGCTGTTTTCCATTCTGCAAGTTGATGAGAGTTGATACATACAAATAATAACAACACGGTTCTATTGTAGCTGAAACCAAATATACTGCAAACAAAGACGCTGAAATGATGTAAAGAAATACTGTATATATGTCACAGGTTTAAATCAACTGACAAAACGGAAATAAAGTCTGCCCTCTGAGAGAGAAAAAAACAGGAAACACATGCAGGAATTCATTAATCAAACATGTCAGGAGAAAACAGGTGATTTCAGGGGAAATTTATTTTTTGTGACTACACCTTATGTGACTAAAAGCTACTATAATGGATTTAACAACAGACTCACCAAATAAATTATGTGAAATCATATTCCCATCTGCACTCTTGGCAGATGGGAATATCTGCCAATTTCTAGATCTCACGATATTTGATTTATTTTCCAGGCGTCAGTTTGTCCAAGACTCCTGGGACTTTCAGGAGACGTGTGTGAATGCAGTCCTATTATGTTACTGGCTTTGTTATTTGAATGTTATACAGGGATTTCCTTGTATCAACAAGTACAAATAAACTGTTCTTGCCCTGCTGCCTCCATCAATAAGCTTAAATCTATCATGTCTAGTGTCTAGATTTAGTAATCTTCATGAACTTAACTTACTTAAGACGTACAAAACACCGCCGCAATAAACCAACAGCTAGAGTTTCATTGGATTGATGCTGATTTTTTGCAAGTGCAAGTAAAAAATGGGTTTAAAAAGTTACATCTGACAATGTGATAAAGGCATTCTCATGGTCGTATCAAATTTAACAAATTTGATTTGTTCCAATGTTTA